GCACGTGGTGAGAGATGTTTCGTGTGGTAGAGAGAGAGAGAGAGAGAGAGAGAGAGAGAGAGAGAGAGAGAGAGAGAGAGAGAGAGAGAGAGAGAGAGAGCACGTAGGAAGGGAGAATTATAATGATCGGAAGCAAGAACGGAAAAACGCTGTGAATAAAAAAAAACGCTGTGAATGAGAGCAATGAAAGCCAGATTCTCTTGGTAAAGTTGACCAGTTCTCAGCTCTTCATGGAAATCAGATGGAAAGAAGGATTCTAAACAGTAAGATGAAAGGGCAGAGGGTTAGGAACACATCAGTACAATCTACATCGTTGCCGGCTTGACAGATGAAGCTGCGGGATGACCGTAACATCAAGCAGACGCAGGTTGCTAAGGTAAGGGGACCTGCACATCAGCACATCCGAAGTGGCAATGCCCCGTCAATATCAAAAATAATTTAAAATATTCAAAACCATCCCAGTCGACAAGGATGTTTACTCACAAAAACAGCAAGGACTGTACAAAAGCATCTGCAAGCAGTGTGCTCATCAGCTCCAGCCTAAGCACAGGGAGGGTGTGAAAACAAGCAATTGTGTGTCTAGATGTGCGTGCTCAATCCACACACACACACACACACACACACACACACACACACACACACACACACACACACACACACACACACCACGAAGGATTAAAAAAAAGAGAACGGACGTTACTAGTCCGAAATTACTGAACTATACTAACAAATGATAGACATTAAGGACATAGTCACACATGGACTTTCCTGAGTGTATCTGACTGCAATTACAGCCAGACATGGATGAATCTGACTGCAGCCAGACCTGAATGAATCTGACTGCAATCGCGTCCAGAGCTCAGTAGAATGTTGCAAATTTCGATACAGCTGCCATGACAGACTCTCAACAACGACTTTGTTCCATCACTCCTCAAATGCGCAAAAATGCGCATGCAATTTTGTGCACGTATCTTGAGTATCTTGATTCTTGACGTCTTCTATTTCAATACACGTTCTCGATTTATTAAAAAAAAAAAAGAAAAAAAAAGGTGGCGGCCTTGAGATATCATCATTGAACTGACAGTCCCCAGCTATTTCACAATTATCATTGCATCTGGATTCGAACTTGAGTCGGTATTTCAGCAGTTCATGGATTGTACCAACTGAGCTAGCCCGTTGGTACGCTCGCCATTTTTTGCACACTTGGTGAGCGGTGGAGAAAGGCCCTCACTCGGCCTTCTATGGTTTGAATGACGTGTCAACAGGGTGGCAGTGCACAGTCTGGATTGCATGGCATGCATCTGAATGCCATGACGGTTGTCTTCAGATGCATGAACGTGTTCAGAGTGCTTGCCGTATTCACCCGACTAGAATGCTCGGTCATTGCCTTCCAGTCCACGTACAGGTTGGAATGTACGTGGAGTGAACTGAAAGGTGACCTACGTGTAGCAATAATGACAGGGTGTTCTATTCGAGACCAAGACGGATAGGTGGGCAGATTTCTCGTACAGATTAATGCATGCAGCTCTCTCTTACATATGAGCGCATGCAACAGGGCGGGTGTACACCCACCTAACACGCACATTCGCCAGTAGACGTATGCGTCGGTACGCGAGCTCTCTGACGCGACGCTGGCAGGCTTATGTTCATCCATACGTGAGTTCGTAGGTGGGCACATTCATCTGTATTACAATTTACAGATGAACGCACGGTCTGGATTGCATTGCAATGCATTGCATGAAGCCCCAGAGTATCTCTTCTCTTAATCTGAATGCAAGCAGTGATCGTGGTAATGTGCATTCATCTGTATTTGGCACCTAGATGGGCGCCTAATGTACAGAACGAACCTACGATCTGGATCGCATGGATCCAACGGCTCTCCTCATTGTCTTCTTCAGATCGATGAATATAAGGCCCCCCGCCCACCGCAGAGATGGGTGGTCGAGAAGGCCAATTTTTGAGTTTGACGACGGGGGTGGAGTGATACCCACCTCTATGGTAGGTAGGGGTGGGTTTCCATACGTAGGAGTGTGGCTCCCTCCGCTGCCCCTCACCAGGCGAGGACAAATGGCATGGCATGATGGGGGTTGATTCTGGAACTACCCACTTGGCAAGGAATGAGAGAACAGAGTGAGAGTGCATCACAACAGACCAAAACTCAAACTTCTCCAACATTGGGCGGGTAGTCCCGGGATAAAACCCAGCACAGCAGACAACAAATGAAGGCTGAATGTAGTACACACTGGTAACTATGCTCACGAGTTCGAGTCCTCATGGAATCAGACATAAAATGAATGGTTGCCTTGTGCTTTTTATGTTTGTCTTGTGTTTTATTTTTAAATCTTTTACTGTTTATTTCGCAAAGGGCAATCTTTTAGTTCATACTAACTCGTAGATATGTAACAATATCTACAATATGTTAGGGGACCTATAGATGCAAACGTCTAATCAATTGGAGGGGCCAATAAATCAGAGAGTCAATCAACCGAAGGGCCAATCAATCAAAGCAAAGGGGCAATCAATCAAAGAGGCAAATCAATCAAAGTGAAGCGCCGATCAATCAAAGTGAAGGGCCAATCAATCAAAGCAAACGGCCAATCAATCGATTGGCCAATTAATCAGAGACGGCCAATCAATCGATGGGCCAATTAATCGGAGACGGCCAATTCATACAGAAGGCCAACAAATCAAAGGGTAGGGCCAATCAATCAATCAATCAATCGATCAATCAATCAATCAATCAATCAATCAATCAATCAATCGATTAATCAATCAATCAATCAATCAATCAATCAATCAATCAATCAATCAATCAATCCAAACGAGGGGCTAATCAATCAATCCGAGGGCCAATCAGAGAGACCAATTAGATGGCTAGTCAGAGTGGTCAGAGTCACGTACAGGAATGACCAACTAGTGGGGAGATCCATACGGATAATATTGAGGGCAAAGAAGTGAAGTTGGTTGTCAATGCACAGACGTCGAGAGAGCACATGAAGCACTGGGCAGTCCCTTGTTGCAGCTTGCACGAGGCATGAGCACAACGGCAAAGCCTCCTTCCACCGTGTAATTCTCATTGATTCCCCGCTGTCGCCACGTCGGATCGGTATCAAGTTGGTAGTCACCGTTGTCCGTAATATTTCGAATCATTCCAAAACATAATAAAATTCGGATAATTCACAATGGATAAGTTGATACGTCATCTAATGGACAATCACCAACAGGGATGTCCCAATTGCCTGGGCATAATTGCCTGGGCCCAACAGCCTGGGCCGGATTGCCGGGATTTTCTTGAATCTGGTCTGGATCATAGATTAACGGCCAGAGTTTCTGACCGTTAATCTATGATCCAGACCGTATATGCAACAAAATCCCGGCAATCCGGCCCAGGCAATTGGGCCCACCACCACACACCTGGTTGCCAGCAGCGATGTCCCAATTGCCTGGCCCTCATTGCCGGGATTTTGTTGAATATACAGTCTGGAACAGAAACTCACTCAGAAGTCAATTGGGACCAGCCAGCCACATCAGTCAGGTCTTTACTGCCTGGGTAGAGGTAAGGACAGAGCAACATCAGAGCAGATGTATGCCTGCCTGGTTGGTGGCTGAGCATCTAACAGAGCGAAAACTGACAACCATCAGGTCATCAGATCAAATCTTGATGGACTCCACAAGATTACTAGGGCCTACACTCTTCTTTAAATGAGTAAATACTAAATACTAAATAATACCCCCCCCCCAAAAAAAAAACAATAATAATCATAATAATCATAATAATCATAATAATCATAATAATAATAATAATAATAATAATAATAACAGACAAGGAAATAAACAAACAAATAAATTATTAAATAGTAGTTGAGTAAGGCATTGCCTTCTCCCTGGTTCGTTTGGTTCCTCTCAGTCCTCTGGCCTGAACTACGCCCTACTCCTACTTCTCCCTCTCCTCCTCCTCGCTACCAAAAATAGATCTTCTCATTACCCGAAATCAACACGATGGTGACGATCAGATTGTAGTCTTATCAATCACTAAGATACGAACTTAGCATCCCTCCTCCTCCTCCTCCTCCTCCTCCTCCTCCTCCTCTCCTCTTTTTCTACCTCCTCTAATCCCCCCTGCACACTTCCTCCTCCTCCTCCTCCTCGTCTCCCTCCCCCTTCCCCCCCCCCACCTCTCCCTCCATTTTTCTCCTTCTCCCCCATACTCTTTTGCCTGGCTGCTCTTTCTCCTCCTGAGCCAAGGCCCCAGTGCCCCAGACCTTCGTTTTTTTTCTTTTTTTTTTCCTTTAAAAGAAAAGCCCCACATCTTTGTTCCTAAGCCGTCGATCTTCGGAATCGGGATCGGGACGGTCAGATCTAAAAACAGTCCGGCTAAGAGGGGG